CCGAGCGCTCCCGAGAGAGGCGGGCTCTCATCTCCACCGAGTCGAAGCACACTCCCAGATATGTTATAGACTGACTCGGGGCGAGAATGCTCTTCTGCATGTTGACACATAGCCCTAGGGACTCCAAGTGACGAAGCAGCGTGTCTATATGGCTGACTAGCGTGTCCCGGGACTGAGCTAAAATCAGCCAATCGTCCAGATAGTTGAGAACGCGCATCCCGCTCGCTCTGAGGGGGGAAAGTGCTGCATCCATGCACTTTGAGAAAGTGCGTGGGGCCAAAGCCAGCCCGAACGGGAGAACAGAGTATTGGTACGCTGTGCCCTCGAAAGCAAACCTCAGAAAGCGTCTGTGATGCGGTGCTATCTGAATGTGAAAGTATGCGTCCTTTAAATCCACGGACGCAAACCAGTCCCCGGGGCGAATTTGCGCCAGGATTTGTTTCAGCGTTATCATCCTGAATGGACGCTTGCAAAGCGCTCTGTTGATGGGCCTGAGATCTAGAATCGGGCGGAGTCCCCCGTCTCTTTTGGGTACCACGAAATAGCGGCTGTAAAACCCGCTCTCCAGCTCGCTGGGGAGGGACTTGTTCTATCGCTCCTTTTTCGAGCAGACGGCATACCTCTTGTCTCAGAACCAGGGCGTTTCGGGGCAATGTTAGAGACTGCACCACGCCATTGAAACGGGGTGGTCTGCGTCTGAATTGAAGGGTATACCCACGCTCTATCACACCGAGTAGCCAGCGCGAGATTCCCGGAATAACTTCCCACGCGCTCAGGAACTGACATAGCGGCTTTAGCGGCTTGGTCGTTGGATGCGCCGGTGAGTGTGTGGGCGGCGGCTCTGCACTGCTCTGAGGCGGGGCGAGCGGCACCGTATTGACTGAATGAGGAGGAAATAGCTTGTTTTGTGAGAATGTATGCATTTTTATTGAATGAACATCCAACACACAAACATTTGAAAACGTGAACTTGTGGCGCTTGGGAGCCGGGCCGCTAGCGCACTCTCCTTCTCTCTTCAGACCGTCAGGACGACGGCTTAGCCGCCGGCGGCGGGCGAGAGTCACGTCGCGGGCTCCTCCGCTGGCCGTGGCGTTTCCTCCCGGGACCCCACGCCTTCCTCCGGAAATCCGGCTCCTGGCGAGGAGCAGTAACGTTAGCCGTCACCGCTGCGGTGAGGGAACCGGCTTTCTGACAAGATGCGCATTAAATATCGCATGCGATTTATCGTGCAGCCCTAATCCGAATGGACAAATACACATAGAATTATATCAAAATATACCATAAATACAATCGGTTATGTCTTAAGTGAACTGAAAGAGTTGAGAAAGAAAACGAGGGTGTATTGGATCCGTGCACATGACTACTGTAATGGGAACATGCATCTGTGTATGCGATTATTTTGGAGATGCGTTCCAATATAATTTATCCTTATTTAGGGTATAGGCCTTTTCTATTTTGATCTGCAGTTTAATAAAAGTTAAACAGAAAAAAGACAAAAAGTAGCACTGCATGGGTTTCTGAATATTTATCTAAACAGACTGTATAATGATGAAAAACCACGAGCATGACAGGTATAATTAAAAGACGCAAATTCCTTCATCGCACATTTCCGTGTAATATTTTTACAGATTTTTTAAACCGTGTATACAATATAATTATGTTTAACTAAGCTGAGATATAGCACTATAAATTCTTAATTCAAACGGATGAAGACTTTATAGGCTTCGAAGCTCGCCCTTGCACGCCCAACACTGAATATTATATTGTGGGTGTTGTATTTTGATTGATAAAATAAAAATTACAACACAAAAATGAAATTTAAATTACCCTGCTTCTAAATAAATTAAGCAGTTATTTTTATTTAGTTAAAAACGGGCCGAAAGAGACCTCCGAACTAGTAAGCTACCAGAAAGGGGGAAAAAAAAAACCTTAACGTTTTTGCTAAGAATTCGTTTGTAATCCCTGCATGGTTTAATCATACATGATAAATATCAAATACGTTATAGCTTTGACTACAAGTTTTATTCAAGACATTATTATATGACATCAACATGCATTTATCATTATTAATATCACTGCCAGAATGTCCAACTTCACCATGATGAACTTAAAATTGGGTTCTATTATTTTTCCTCAACAGTTCTCACAAAACGAAATTCATTTCAAACACAAATTTGATAAGAACAGAGTGGAAATTATTAGCAACACCAACATAACAGCAAAGCTAATGTTTTCTGTTAGTTTAAGCACAAACTAAGAAAAGTAAAACCAAACTTTGTGGCAATAATTAAGACTAAACTGAACATGGTGTGTGTTTATGGTGCATAATATACTCTTCTTGGGGCTCTACCCTCTCTCCCTCTTTCTCTCTCTCTCTCGCTCAGGTAAAATTTTACATACATGCTGGGTACAATTAATTGTTCATGTTTTACCATCCTTCATCTATTTTGTAACCAATTCAAGTGTAACCATAACAAAATATTGTTATTAAACCATTTCAATTATTAATTATCTGCTAACTAGTCTTGATTCAAGGTTAACTTTGAAGTGCTACCTATTGCAATACAATATAGTCATTCAATAGAAATGCTCTCCCACATACAGCTATTCTAACTGTGCTTATTTCCATCGTTGGTATAAGTGGCAGTGGGTCGCAATAGACTAGAAATGTACAGTTTTATACCATCGTGCTGATAACGTTTCTTTAGTCATTCGGCAATCCTACAGCCTGAACCACCGTAGGGAAACCATCCTTACAACTTAGAATTCCATGGAAGGTGTGCTTTCAACTATGTTGAAAAAGCTTACGGTGGGCCATCTTGTGCTGTATAACAACATGAATGATAAAACTCCCATGCACAAAACAGGGCTCATTAAAGAAATGATGTACCGACTCCGGTAGGACAAAACTAAATTTACGTTCAGAAACTTGGCCCAATTAGAGTAAGGTAATGAGATCGAAAGATATACACCAGAAGAACTAACAACAGTAAAGTGTAAAAGTTTGCCAAACCTTTTGCTATTCATGGCTGTACGTAGCACCTACAGATCAACATAAACCCCCAGAAGGACTCCTTCAAGGATTAATTTAAATCTTTGAATTCAGCTATTTTACAATCATATTAAAATATATGATTGCTTATAAAATGTGCAGCCAAGAATGATTCGACAGTTTATAATAAGGTTCAATTTGTTCACATTAGTTACTGCATAAAATAATATACAATACTTTTACTAGATTAATTATTGTATTAATACATTACAATTTCAAATTGTATAAATTAACATTAATGTATTGTGAACAAACATTATTTAATACATTAGCCTAGAACAATTAATGCTGTAAAATGTTTATAGTAATATGTAATGTGTTCATCATGATGCCTAATGTTTTATCTAATGTTAATGTTTTGAACCTTATTGCAAAGTGATAAGTAACTTTCAACAATATTCTTAGCTACCCACTCTCATCTAAAGGAGTGCTTCTCAAACCTAGTGGGTCACTCACCATTACACATCTTGGACGTCTCTCTCATCTGTCACACCCGATTCAAGTCTTGCAGTCTCGTCCAATGAGCCGATGAGTCGAATCAGGTGTTTGAAGGAGACTTCCAAAATGTACAGTGGTGGGGGATTCCCAGGACAGGTTTGAGAAGAAATAGTTATTGGAGGTACATTTTTGTGATCAGATTTCAAGACTACATGCATCATTTACTAATGTCAGTGTCGATGTCTGATCAAGGTACATTTGTTGCACCCACCAGTTTGTGGCAAATGATGGCCTGTTTCACAAATAGCCTACCGTTTCTGCAGCGCATTTTCATATTGGTGCCTATATTTACAAAATACAATATACACAGATGCAGCACAGAGAGTAGATATTCAGTATTATATTCGCAGCACAGCACATCGCGATCTCGGCAGAAAACATGTTTTCAGTATAATATAATGCAGTATAAACATGTTTTACAACATGGCTTAAATAAGATCATTATGCTTTAATTATAGAACAAATTGAACTGCAATAGTTATTAAAGGCACAATATCACTACACATATGTAAAAGCACAACATGAGTCATAGAGAGGGTTATGTTGTTTTCATAAAATATAATATGTAAAGACAAAAGAAATAGTTTTCAATTACTGATGCTACTGTAAAAATACACTGTTTAACATATATTCACTTACTTTCCAAAGCAACTTACATTGTATGCCAAGCATACATTTTATCAGTTCATGCATTCTCTGAGAATCAAACTAATGCCTTTGGCATTGCTAGCACAAGTGTCCTATAATAGGGGGACTACAGAGGTGAAGCAAGTAGTACATGGCTGGTCATGTGATGTGTCAACATGGCACCCCCAGAAGGCAACCCGCCCAATGTAAAATAAATCAGTAGGCCTATTTATTAGGTTACTGGTATGAATACTAGAATATTCATCTAATGTTCTTTTCATTTAGAGGTTAATATTTTTTGCTAATGAGGAAAAGTTTACTGATGCACTTAAAATTGCAGTGAAGGAAAGGCTATTTTTTTTAACACGTTTACAACTGCTTTAGTATTCTTACTACGACTGTAGGTTTGATATAATAGCAAAATATATATGACCTGTAAAGTGACTACTAAATGTGTAAACTAAATGTGAGAACTAATTAGTATTCAACAGTGTAAATAAATTAAGCTGCACAGTGCTGTTGCCATGCAAACAAAGCCTAGTATTAGCATATCTATCTATATTTAAATATATAGTCTAAAAACATATAGACTATTCTATTATAAACAACCCATGTTGTCTTGGCATGTAAACAAAGGGCTGCACATGGCTATTATTTTATCAAATAAATGAGGAAGGTTCATTGACAATGTGCAATAAATAATTCCTCTCATTCCCATCAGGGGAATTCATCTTTATCTAAGAAAGCAACGAAACACAAATTCTATGAGCTAGAGCATGTGAAGAATTGAAAACAACAAACAAAATTAGTAAAGTCTACTCACCCTAATATGCCAGTACACATTCCAAAAGCAAACTCAGTCCTGTTATCACTGTTCTGTCCTTGGTCATCCACTCTGAAAAAAAAAAAAAAAGGCTAACATCATTATCAAGCATTTATTTCTATGGGGGGAAAAAACTTGTCTAAGTATCAAGATAAATAAAACAACTATACAACAAAATCTGTTTACTATCATGGACATCTTAAATACTTGATTCTAATTCTTTAAACTATATAAAACAAGGCTAATATTTAACCGTGAAAAAAATACATATATGTAATAGGTTTACCATGTAACCTTCAACAATAAACGATGGAGTAGGAGTCCCTCCTGATAGCTGTACAGTGACAACCCGGTGACTGTTTTAAAGTGATGCAAGTGTCACTAAGACGAAAATCTACGATTAGTCAGTAAATGATCAGAAGTGTCAAGTAACGTGTACAGTAACGTTATGCAAATACACCCGTGTTCATGCTTAAAACGTTAATAGTTCCATTGTAATTGTTATTTGGTTGTTTACATAATGCTAACAGACCAATCTGAAAGAGAAACGCACGAAGCTAAGCTGGCTGGCAGGCTAGGAACATGGAAGTCCAGCGTCACAAAACAAAATGGGCTGCATGCTTGAAACCTGGAGTCCGAGCACACAAACAAGAACTCGCGATCCGAGAAACAACAACATCCTAATTTTAGTTTTAAATCTTAACTTGTGCATTAGACACTCAGTGTTATATCACCCAGTTTAATTACGCAGCAAAGCGGTATAAGCTTCTCCCTATGAGCTCATTTCCCCTTAGGACTGCTCCTACTCACCGTCGTGCTCGGCGTCCTGCTGTTGTCGTTTTCCTTTGTAAGACTGTGCACCTTCCCGATGCGCAATGCGCACGTAAGATATTCCAAAACTTTCAATGCAAGTTAAAGATACTTGTAACACTATTCATTATTTAAAACAAAATCAATCATTAAAGGTCGTTTGATGTTAGCACAACTCGATGCACGTTCACCAAACAATGTGGCTCAACCCGGGCTCTTTCGTGACACCCGACCACTGGAACCTATGAGAAGGCGGCAAATGGAGAGGAAGACCCGCCTCCAGTTCTACGGGGCCTCCATTTCAAAGTCCAATGTGTGGAAGCTTTTTTGCGCATGGTATCTAAGGAACGTACCTTAAAATGGCTGCCGATGTCGTGGGAGGAGCTTGTTAGAAATTCTGTCGACCATCTTACATCATGCCTTTGAGATTGTTGCAGGGTGCGGTCTTGCACCTTAGTTTCTTGTCAAAGAACTCGAGGACATCAGTTTACCAAGAGGTCCAACAATCCACACCACCTATCTTGTTCTTAGTGCTGTGAGATATTCCATAGTTACCATACTGTTGCTAATTGTAGCCTACTGGGACAAAAATGTCACAAAACCGATTTTGGAACCAACCACACCTTTGCACCTAGTAACCTACTGTACACTTAATAAGCAATGTTGGACTGTCTGTGTTACAAGAAAAATTTTAGATTTGAAAAAGGCAATTATAATAAACAACTGATAATATTGTAATATGGTTCCTCTTACTTAGGGTTCTAGGTAATAAATCAGATTAATATTGAGAGTCTCAAAATAAAATAATACATTTAAAAAAACTGGCACTGAGACCATTCATTCACTTCTTTCCTTTGAGCAAGTCATAGGCTCAACAAATGTAAATGCTTGTCTTTTAACCCCAAGGGAGGTCCTGGCAAAGATGCATGCATGCGCCACCAAGAGAAAGGCTCCACTTTGTTCAAGGACTGAAACGGTTTTCATTTCCCTCTATAGTCTTCTTGATGTTGACTGTTCTTGATTCACCACAACACTTTACCCAGTTAGACTTAATCCCTCTCTCTTATTCCACAGCTGTACCTCCAAGAGGCATAAATACAATACTAGAGAACTGTCACTCATAGTGAAAGGGAACAATTAAATAGAAAAAAGTAAAATCAAAACCACACATTCTGGTTAGATATTATTATAAACCGAGAACATTGGGTGTCTATCAGGTAATTACGGTCTATTGATATGCATTACCAAAATATAAGCTTGCATTCACTTTGGTAGGCTGCTGACTCTGGCAAACAGTATGGACCTCTTATACCAGTTTCCCTATATCAGTATACCAATTTTCACTCACTAAAATGGCCTTAAAAAACTAAATGAATCAGCCTTTACTCAATACAAAACATTTGAACCACAGTACATATACTTGACTCCAGTGGAAATAAGACTGGTCAAGGTTTACATAAGACTATTAAGAAAGGACATTGTACAAGGAATTGACTATAAATGGGAGGTAGGGGCCAATGTGTCAATGGACACTTATAGCCTACAAGACTACAAGAAAAAGTGTATTTAAAAATCCAGTGACATACTCTCATTCAGAAAGGGGCACATGGGCAAGTCTCACAGATCAGTTTTGTTCACTGCTGTGTAGCCCTTGAAAGTCCATTAGATACCTGCTATCCACAAATGTTTTGGAATACCAAACTCCCTTGTGATATTCTCTTGTGGTAAGAGAAGACTCAAGAGTCTAATCACATTGTAAACCTCAGCCGAAACAACAAAAATGTTTGTGAATTATGTGGAAACATTATATCAATCAAGATCATACAGTACAGCATATAAGATCATACAGAACAGCATATAATACAACAATGTACAAATGTGCAAGTGCTGTTCCAACACGTAGCAAATGGTGATCACTTTTTATGAAGGGTGGACAAGTTCACTATATAAATGCTTAGAGTAGATGAGTAACAAAGTAAGGACATATTTCTACAGAACACATATTACCATTTAATCAAGACTGGAATAATTTGAAACCTTTAAATGGCTTTTTATGTTGTCAGGAAAAAAACAGCCTTTGCCCAATTCTACAATGGAGGAAGTTAAGTAACTCTTCACAGTATAGTTGGGCTATTTCTGTGTCTGGGTATCTGGGTTTTTTTCTGAATCTTGAGGCTGACTTGTACAAGGACCAAAAACCAGTAAATACTTTCCAGATCACAGTGCTAAGTAACGGCCTTTTTGTTGTACGTCTTGTCTGAGACAGAGTTGTTGAGTTGTTGATGAGGTAGACCAATCAATGTTTTAAAGGGTTGAAACTGACTGCCAATTTCCATCACAAAACCTATTATCTAGGTTGGTTACTTCAGTACTTCTCAAACCTGTCCTAGGGACCCCCCCCAAACCTGTCCTAGGGACCCCCCCAGAAAAGCAGTGGTTCCCAACCGCGTTCCTGAAGCCCTGGAGGTCAACACTGCACATTTTGCTAGGTCACCTTTGTCTGACATACCCTTGTCAGGTCTTCGAGCCTGTGTCTGAAATCACCCCCTATACCAGGGGTGCCCACACTCGGTCCTGGAGGGCCGGTGGTTTGATTAGGGTTGGAGCTAAACTCGGCCGGACACCGGCCCTCCAGGACCGAGTTTGGGCACCCCTGCCCTATACCCTTAAATAGGGCACTATTTGCGGGGACAGCCATTTGTAGTGGTGTCCGACACCATAGTGGACGTTATCGAGCACACTTATTCAATCCCATAATGCACCACAGTAACGGGTGTACAACTGATATACACTCAATGGCTATAGAATACCCATAATGCACTGTGAGGGTCATGCCGAATTAATTCCCGTGTTTCGCAAAATGGTGCCTGCAGCTGAATCATCCATCCATCCATTTTACAAACCACTTGTCCAATGTGGGTACAGTGTAATATACAGGTATACATTTCTTTTTAGCTGATTATTAAATAGTTTGATTAAGGTTTATACATGATAGTTTTCATGAAGATAAATATTTTAATTACTACTGGAGCTGCAAGTTTAAAATGATTATTAAGCAGCAAGCATAAACTGCTAAAGCGGCAGCCCTTCTGGCGCACTCAGCATCCAAATTCTCTCACTCGTTTTCTTATTAGTGAACTAATGTAGGGAATAGTGACTGAAGGTATAGGAGGCAATTTCGAACTGGAGTCTCTACTAATAAGCCGATGATCAGGTGTGTTTGATTGTGGAGACATGCAAAATGTGCAGTGTTGGGGGCTAGGGGTTCAGGAACATGGTTGGGAACCACTGTGTCAGGGTTCGAGTAGGGAAGGGGCGAGGACTCAGATGCAGAGTTCAAATGGGCTTTCATTTAATCAAAAAATAAAATAAAACAAACAAAAACTACCCCTTGGCGAAAAACAGGACTGGTAGCTGGACTTGGCAGGGCAAGGCAGAACAGGAACTGGCAACGCAGGACACAAGAAGGTAACATTGATGACTAATCAGCACAGGACTGAAAACACAAAGAAAATAAATGAAGAGCGAGAAAACAAAGCCGGTAATGAGGGAGGACAGGTGGGGCAAATGAACCAATCATCAGGTAGCAAAAAGAGAGGGATTAGACAACAGAAAGGAGAGCATATGGCACATAGAAACAACCATGAAAAGCCATGTGCTCACTCCAAACAAAACAAAAACACATGGCCAGTGAACCCAATCACAAGCCATGTGTCCAGACAAAACATGACAACATGAAAGCTCGCAGCTGAAGAAAACCATGAACTGCATTCACACAGCAGAAGACAAAACATAACATGAAAGCATGCGGCCAATGTAAACATGAACCACGTGCCACACAGAACACAACACATGTGGACAGAAGATAATTTGGCCCAAGCAAACTCAAAACTACACCTTCACACAGCGAGACCAGAGCGCATGGGAAATGAGCGAATGCTCATCCCATGCACTCACAAGAAAAGACAACACACACAGATCATGAATGTCCGAACCCTGACACAGAACCGAAACCAAACTTGACAGAAGTGTCAGGATCCGAAGACCATGCTCCGCACACAACGTGGACAGAAGAGCGTACTGCCCAAACAAATTCGGAATCGCATGCTCACAATGACAAGACAATAGAAGTATCAGAGTTCTATCACCAATCCAGGAATAAACCGACCAAAGTGACAGAACCCTGACACACTGATTTAGAGGATGCTTTATCCAAAGCAAATTAATAATGAGAATAACAGAGATAGAAGCAATTTATTCACTGGACAACACAAGTATATCACAGCAAACAGAATTTCTATGGGGTACAAGAGTGGAATAACAGTGTAAGTGCATAAAGATTTTTAAACTCCCAGATAATGTGTCTTTAGCCATTTCATAAAGATGACAGTGGATTGCACTGTTAAGGTGAAGGTTGAGACTTCATTCCATCACCAAGGGAGAGGGACAGTGTGAAGGCTTTTGGAAGTGACCTTGTACCACACTGTGATGGCACCACCATATGTTCTTTGACTAACTCCAGGGTATGGGAGAATGTAGACAGAGTGGTGGTTTGGTAAGCTAGCATCAGAGCCTTGAATATGAATCAGATGCCTACAGGCAGTGAGTCAAGAGAGGTGTGACATGGTGCACAATTTTGGCTGACTGAAGACCAGATGCTCTCATACATTCTGGATCATCTGCAAGGCTTGACAGCTGGAAGGCCAGATAGTAAAGCATTCCAATTTTCCATTTTTGGATTAAAAGAGTCTGAACCCAGAGTTACACAGCATTATCAGAGCAGTGTGGGCTAACTTTCTTTACGTTAAAGAGCATAAACAGGGCAGTTGTTTGGGTGGTTGTTAAATACTTCCCAAAGATGCCTGTTATTGTTGGGTTTAGCTGTTTGGTGGAGTTGTGTACAATTGATGGCCTGGCTGGTACGTCAAGGAGTTCAGCCTTTGCAAGGTTGACCTGGATATGACATTCCTTCATTCAGTTCATGATGTTAGAAAGACAGGATGAAAGTGTGGGATTATCAGGTCGGAATGACCAGTAAAGCTGTGTTAAGTACAGTATATAGATAAGAAGAGAGAGCCAAGCATTGATCTCTAGAGTTCTTCAGTGTTTAGCCTAGTGGTTAGGTGTGATTCAGACACTCCTCTCCTTCATGAAACTTTGACAGATATGCCTGTAAATGTCCTCTTTTGAAGCCAGAATGGTTTTATCCTGCAGGTTGCTCTGTGAAAGGAATGCAAAAAGTTGAATACAGCCTTTTTCAATGTTTTTGGACAGGAATCAGAAATTCAGGCCTGTGTTATATAATACTTATCAGTTCCAGCTCAACTGCTAAAGCATGGCACAAGCGACACAAACATCATTGGTTTGAGTCTTGAAT